TGAAGACCTATAACATTAGAGCATCTCTAACCGGCGCGGTAAAAGGCGCGCCCGTGCGGTAAAGTTAGGTTTTAGCGCGCGCCGGCTGATTCCGCGCGCTCCAGCGGTGGCGGGAATTTACCGCGCGTGGGAAGCGTTTGCGCGCGCGGGGGAGAAAGCGGTACGCGGCGCGGTAGATTTGGCGCGTCGCTTACCGCGCGCTTATAAATTGCCGCGCTCGCCACGCGCACAGCACACAGCCACGTGCCCTCCCCTCGCAACCTCGCCGCTTCGCAGCTTTCCGCGCCATCACTGCGCCACCATGCCGCCGCGCCGCCGGGGTGCTTCCGGCTATCGCGGCGTCCGCGAGCACCCCAACGGCTGGTACTCCGTCGAGATACGGTCCGGCGACGTCCAACTCGGCCTCGGGATATTCCGGAGCGTGCATGAGGCGGCCCGCGCGTACGACGCGGCGGCGTGGCGCTTGGACAGGCCCCGGTCGCAGATGAACTTCCGGGACGTCTTCAGCGCGAGCAGGCACAGCGCGTCGCCCCTCCGCCGCGTCTCATCACCGACATGGACCGTGCCGACCACGCTCGGCGGCAGCGCCGCCTCCTCGTCGCCGAGGAGGACGAGCGAGCCATGGCAGAGTGGCGTCGTCGCCACCCGGAGGACGTTGCCGACGAGCATGCCTACTGGGCGGAGAGGACGGCAAGGCGCCGCGCGGAGCGGGCTGACCGGCGTCAGCGGAAGGCATTGGCGAACGAGCAGTGCGACATAGTTTCAGCAGGTGGGAGGTCGTTCTTCACCGCGGACGACGAACGTTGGGACGACATATGGATCTCAACCTCGGACGACACCGACGAGGATGATGGTGATGGTAGCGACTTGGAGTAGTTTCTATCGCTGTATGTCGTAGTAGTTTCTATCTATCTATCTATGCCGTAGTAGTATCTATCTATCTATGTATGTCGAACTATCTATCTATCTATGTAAAATATCTTGTATTGTTTTTTTATCTATGCAAAAAAAATGTTTATAGAATGAGCGCGCGCTGCATTTTTACCGCGCCTGCTGGAGCTGCGCGCGCGCACGGCTTTACAGCGCGGCTGCTGGAGCAAACGTTGCGCGCCGCGCCAAACCAGGCGATGGGGCGTGCCAAATCAGTTTTTAACGCGCGGCGCGTTCGGCGCCTGTTGGAGATGCTCTTAGAGCATGTACAGATGTATTCCCCCAAACTGACCAGAGAGACGCAAAACCATTGACCAGCAGGAGAGAGAACAAAAAAACAACTCAACCGGACCCCTCAAAGCACACTTAAATGTCCGGAATGTCCGACACTTCTCATATTACCCTCATATATAAGATGAGTATGAGGAGTGCCCGAGCGAGTCCGGACAATGATTTTGTGCCTGTCACATAGGATTGATCCACCACGAAGCATCCTTTTCTTTCTTTCTTTATTATTTATTTACTTCCTCTCTCTATCTCAACCAATCACATGCAGATGATCAGACGTATAGGAAAAAAAAGTGAGGGACATGACTGCATGGATGAACAAATATGGAATCAAAATGGACATGCCCAAACACTGACCGGCCGCGTCCAGGGAAGTTTGAGAGACCAAATATGTTCAGTCCGGTTGTAGATGCCCTTACCAAGCAGTGTTTTTTTATGTACTCTACCCTGCAGTTGTTTATCAAATGCTATGATGATTAAAAACAAATTAAGCCCAAGTATAGATGTCCAATACATATATACACGGTCCACTCTACGATGGAAAAAATCAGACTAAAACCAACCAACAATCAAGGCATAGAAAGAGTGCAAGTCGGTCCGGGCATTCCTTGTTCAGTAAGATCAACTCTAGCAGAGTCATTATGTTAGTCCGATTGTCACAATAACCGTTTTCATAGAAATGCTGGTCAAATATATATTCTATAGTCACCATCTTTTTCTTTCTTTTTTGAGTTGGTCACCATCTTCTTAGGATCACCATTATTTATGGAACAACCTTCAAATATGGCCTCCCTATCATCATACATGTGGTCTCGAGACTGCTATTTGGAGCTCGCTCCATGTGGCAGTTACGTCTATTTACGTGTGGTGCGAAAGAAAGTTCGGGTGGCCCCTACGACCAATGTTCAAAATATCGTCTGATTCAATGATTTATCGGCCACTTCATCGCTTATCAGTGTGTGATCACTAAGGTTATACCTTATCTCTGGTATTTATCATTTGAACCGATTTATCGCTTATCAATGGGTGATCACTAAAGGTTATACCTTATCTTTGGTATTTATCATTTGGACCGATTTATCGCTCTGACAAGCATTATTCAGCCAGGGCCCTATGGCCGGAAACTCCAAAACAGGACCTCCTCTTTAACAGCCTCCGGAACAACACACTTCGTCCCCCGCGCGAGAGGACATGTGTTGTAGTGTTGTCCTACTTTGTTGTCGTTGATCCATTTTATATAATATGATATGATACTTTTTTTAACACAGTACAGATGCAAGTGCTCATATACACGTGCATACACTCACCCTTATGAACGCACATATGCACCCCTATCCCTATGAGCACCTCCGAAATACTGAGCCAGCATATCATCTTGAAATTTACGAAGTCACTGAATGCGCATCGCCGGAAATCCTGAAATAAATTCAGGAATAAATGCGAGCACCAGGACTTGAACCCTGGTGGGCTGGGGATACCACAGTCCCTCTAACCATCCAACCACAGGTTGGTTCGCATATGATATGATACCTATTATGTATTGTTGTAGTGATTTCCTATTTTGTTTGTTGTTGATTCATTGTTTGACATGCACTACCTCCTTCCCAAAATATAAGGCGTCGATTGACTTTTTTGGTCTTCATTACACAACTTATGGCACACTCATGGTTATTTTTATTTTTACCTTATTAGTACTTGAAACCTAGGCATTGCAACAAAAAACTGGCCGATTAATAGTCTACTGATAAATTTGACTGATTTTCGATTAATCTCTAATCCCCAACCGACCAAAACGCTAGCGATAAGCAATATCCTGACACTGCCCCTACCCTACCTCACGTGGGATGGCTTTGAGGTGGTGAAAAAAAGAATCACCCAATTATGAAGACACCAAATATAGAGACTCAAGTCCCCATAAATTATTTAAAGTGTACTCCATAACGATTATGGATGTTGCAGTTTTGGCAATTCCACTGGAGCTGTTTGAAGTACTAAGAGGGTGTTTGTTCCAGGGACTTATTTGTTTAGGGATTAAAAAAGTTCTTATAAGTCCCATCTAAACCAAACAGGAGGGACTTATAGGGACTTATTGGGGTCATTTGGAACTTATCAAAAAAGACTCTCATGGAGGAACTTATTGGAACTTATCGATCTGGACGCACCTACCCCGCATCGCCCCGCACGAACCCCGCCCCGCTCGTTCCCCTCCTCCTCGCCTCGCTCCTTCCCCGCCTCGCCCCAATCGCCGCCGCCGTCGGCACCCTCAACCGCCGCCGCCATGGCCGATGAGGAGGACGAGATCCCCTTCTTCTCTCAATTCCCCTCGTCTCAACAGGCAACCGAAGGCTCATCCGCCGGTGGAAATCTCGGGAGGGGAATGGGTTTCTTGGATCTCAACAGCAACGTCGACGTCTTCCCGGAGTTGGGCTCGTACCAGCAACTCCTCTTCGACCAGTCGGACGGTCATGGCCTTCCTCCGGTTGGACCTGGTCGTGGGAGGCCCGTGCCCCAGGGCGGAGGAGGCCGCAGCCGGTCTCTGAACATCGGAGGCCGAGGCGGCTCTCACCTGCGTCCGTTCGTCGCCCCGGCCGCAGCTGCCGTTGAGGGAGGCGGCATAGGGCGTGGGAGGACCGTGTCCCAGGTCACTGGACGCGGCGTAGGTCGAGGCAATGGGTCCTCAGCGGCCGGCAGTAGAGGAAAAACTGTGGGGAAGCAACGTGTAGTTCCCTGTAACATCAACTTATAAGTCCCTGTAAACAAACAGGTAGGGACTCGGGACTTATAAGTCCATGTAAACAAACAGGTAGGGACTTATAACTTATAAGTTGGGACTTCAAAAAATCCTATGACTTATGAAACAAACAGGGCCTAACAAACCGAGGCGATATACTAGAAACCACAAAGATAACAATTAATTAAACTAGCCGGTTTGTTTGGTTTGGTATCAAAGAAACTCGTTGGATGTGATGCAGATGTACTCAAGCACTCGATGTCGAGCTCCGGAGTGAAAGCTTAGGTCTGATCAGAGTTGGTTATACCTAGCAATGATGATGTTTTTTTTCCGTAGTTATCTTGTTTAAGGAATTGCTCGAATTTGTTCGGATTGATTTTTCGAGGTGAAAACCTAGATTCTAACCTTGATGGTTGAATCAGATTACGACGTTTGGGTGTCGCTTCCTTTCTGGTATTGATGTTGAAGAACCTCGGCGTTTGGTGATATCATGAGATGATTTATGCAGATATGGTCATTGTTGCAGTTTGCCGGTCGCTAATTAATCTGATCGCCTTGGGACTTTTTTCTTTTTTCATCGTCTACGCGTAGCTTTGGTCTTATATGACTTTGCTAATTGTGAGCGTGCTTATTGTATGTGTTGATGTGAGATGTGTGCATGATAGCTATGCAGAGGCCGGGTGTGTGCTTAATGTGTTATGTATCCTTTTGATGCTTTATTTTAAGCCAATAAAATTCACCATTTATAGAAAAGACGTGGAAATAACAGTAGCTAGTACATCTGTGTCCGACTCACAAGCCATGACACCAAAACACTTGCATCTGGGCTAAGCCCATGAATGCATCTCTGCAAATACAAAGTTAAACAGCAAATCCAACACTACACTACTGGGCGACGGTGACCGCCAACACACAACAGATTCACCCAACGGCCGGCAACAGCTGCAGCACCGGCTAACGATCGAGTTAGCTGCATGCGCTGCAACATTATTCAGAACCACTCGCAGGTACGCTACGCAGCCAGCTAGCAAGGCGATTCGATCGATCTAGTCTACGGTTTGTAGTAGACGATCTTCACCTCGGTGACGCCGTGGCAGTCGCCGTCGGGAACGGAGTGCTCGAAGCAGTGGCCGCCGCCGTTGCACCCGGCCGTGGGGCAGTGCGGGGTGACGGAGACAAGGATGGGGCCCGACTGCTGGGTGCTCACCTCGTAGTACGCGCCGCCGTCGTGGCCCAGGTGGACCTTGGCCACCGCAGCGCCGGACACAAGCACGCCCCCTGTCCACGCGCACACGTCGAATGACTCGTGCTTCCCGTCCGGGAGCACCCACCCGTCGGGGAAGAGGAGGTCGCGCTGTGCGCGGCCCTCCTCCAGGCTCAGCTTCAGGTCCTGCCCGCATAGGTTCTGCACCGTCACCCTGTGGCCGCCGCAGCCTTGGCCGGCGGCGAGCATGGCGGTGGCGGACAGAGCAACCAGCAGCAGGAGAGCGGGGGGCTTGGAGAAGGCCATGGCGAGCTAGCTAGCTCTTGGTACGAACTGCGAAGGGCTTGGGGGTCGAGGAGGAACAGGAGAGGCTGGCACTGGCTTGTGGTGAGGTTTATGGCTCAGCGTTGTGGGAGTATTTATAGGCAGAGAAGCTTCACTAGGGCTTAAGGATATTCCGCATTCCAGTACTGGTTCGAGATTTTAGGGAGGATGGTTCGAGATTTTAGTCTCGTCAGATATTCCGCATTCCAGTACTGGGCTGCTACTCCGCAAGTCCAGTCACCGAGCCCTCCCGTTCACCGCACACGAAGTCTACGCCCCAGAAGTCGATTCGTCTCGCATTTTGGTTCTCCGTGAAATGACTGTTCCTGACTAGACAGCACCACATTTTGGTCTTACGAATGATAATAGATGGACTACTACATCTTTTTCGAGTACACTATGGTCATTTGGGTTTCTAAGAAACATGTCCTACCTGAAATAAGGATGCAAGCGAACACGTCCACGAAGCATGCGGAGTGACGGCCGGAGATGAAGTAACACGCCCCTGTTTTAAACACTGTGCTGCTCCAGAAAAATACTGTTGCGGATACATGCGCCTGCATCCCACCTTGTACCTACTCCCTCCGTCCCAAATTACTTGTCTTACTTGTCTTTAATCAAGACAAGTAATTTGGGAGGAAGTACTATACTGCCTGAGAATTACATGTTGCACTACACCTGCCTGTTGAGAAACCGATAGCCAGCCGCGTGCTCGATATTTCAGAGACACATAGTACTACTCTGTTACTAGGGAAACAAAACTTGAACTTATAGCAATCACATCTACCGTGGACATCAAACATACACCCTCTGTTCTTAAACGGAAGACGTTTTTGTAGTTCAAGAGGTACTATCAAATTGCAGGGTCAATCGAACACAGGCCCGGTTGGTTACAACTTACAAGGCTTTCACCGAGCCCCAGGATCAGCTCCTCAATCACTCCCACTAGACAGAAGGCAGGAGGCACATGTCAAAACATACTTTACACTTCCTGCTCACCCATTCCCAGATGTATTTTTTCCCATCAAGTTTGGATTGCTCACCACGTATTCCACGCATTCACAGATTTTTCAGTTCTACTGCATAGTACAGACATTTCACGAGAATTCTTTTTCACGACGATAAATATCTCTCTATGCTGGCCACGATCACATGAATAATTTGATATTTAATCATGCGAGGAAGAAGGATTTAGCTACGAGCAATGCAGTCGTCTAGGATCACTCGGTTCCGTCCACACTGGACGCTGCTACCGGCGGCTGTGCGGTATCTTCCGGCTGCACCGTCTCCACGTTCTCTGCCGGGTGGTCTTTGGAGGCCGTCAAGTTTGCGTCATCGCTTACTTCCTCGTCCCAATACCTCTCGAGGAGCTTCATGGCTAACTTGTAAACCGCGTCATTGTCGAAATCCTGCAGATCCTCCAAATTGTCCAAGCCCCCATTCTCCAGAATAAACTGCGCATACGGGTTCATCGCGGATTCATTGCGCTGCTTCCCGATGTCACCCTCCTCGAGTATATTTTGGAGACCTTCCAGACATGTATACACAAGATCAACGTCTTGGTACTTGAGGACATTGCAGAGTGGCTCCAAACATCCCCGGCTCACCAAATATCTGCGGTCAGAGAGTGAAAAAGTCATTGCAAAGCACTTGGCTCAACATCATGCACATACAAAATAATGAAAGCAAGAATGTTCAAATTGCGTGTGAACTAGCACGCAAGATAACCACTGGTTAAGACTTACTGGATTTGATCGCTTGAACCACCAGAGGCAGCATTTGATATAGCCCAAGCAGCTTCCTTCTTTAAATCAGTTTCTGAGGTCTTTAGTAGAACAATGACATGGTTCATAACATCAGCATCAATGACTGCCTTTCAAAAGAATTACGAGTCAACCAATAGTAATAATAACATAAATGTGCAAGATTCAGTTGACATAGGGCAAAATGATAATGCAACTAATGTACATTCAGTTCCATTCAACTGAATGCAGGAGCCTGATTTTATTGCATAAACACCAAAATCAGCATATAACTTATTACCTGAATCTGATCCTTGCTGCCAGCGGTAATATTAGAAACAATTAGACAAGCTTGTTTCTTGATGATCTTTGGATAATTTCGCGCTAATAACTGGGCTAAGCAAGGAAGAATGCCCTGTTCTACTATGACCTGAAAAACATTATTGCACAGGTTCAACACACCAAAATAAACACCGGCTAGGCATTGTAGCAAATAATAGACAATATATATAAATTTCTGACAGCAACACACATGCAAACTATATGCCGGAGGCATGCAGAGCTCCCCTAAGGTTTCACAATTTCATACTGCATGAAGTGTACATGAATTGATCGGAATATGGGCATACGAACTTGCGAAGTATGAAATCAGTGAGGCTGGTACCAAACAGTGGTGTTAGAGGATGAACAGCTGGTGAGGTTTATTGAGGAAATAAATGATCTAGTCAGACTCCAATAATGTAAATATGCAATATTAGGTACAGTCATTGCAGCTAATGTAAGATGAACTTCGGGCAATAGAGCAACCACCCCCAACCCCACCTGCCAATTCAAGCAACTACATAGTCGGTTCCTCTGATCTCATTGTTGCAGTTAACTGACAGTCCATATTGGTTAAGTAAAAGATAATAACAAACAATGAAACAAATAGTACAGGTCTATACAAATTTAACCAACCTGCACTTGAGTATCATCTCCGGCAGAAATTCTTGCGAGTGACATAATGACAGGGAGAAGAATATTAGCTGACGCATGCCTAAAACCAGGACAAAAGAGTGTTTCATATGATGAGTCGTGAGTGGTTTTTCCTCATATGTGGAAATGCATACAGAACTGATTCCACCAACTTACATCAGAAGTTTTACAAGTTGAGGGCATACACCTGCATCTAATGCATCTTGGATGCCACCTTCCACACCATCACATATATAATAAAGAGCCCAGCATGCATCTGCCAAGATCTTCTCATCAGCGGAATGGATAAGAAGGCTGACTATTTCCAGTATTGGTTTCACCTGCAATGATCAACCAAAATAGATTCAGCAAAAAAAAATTCACATGTTAACTAGGGAATATAATCATACAGAGACCCACTTGTACTTCAGCCGGTAATTTCCCAAAACAAAGGTTTGACAGTGCCCATGTAGCAGTCCTCAGAACTGAAACTTTCATGTCTTCTTTAAATTGAGCTAGTAATGGTGTAACAGCGCCATGATCAAGAACAATCTCTCTGCAGCTAGGCATGTCTGCGGCTATATTTCCAAGAGCCCATGTAGCCTGCTTAACAACAGAGCCAACAATATAAGTAACAAAACCATTTCAAAAACAATGTACAATAGAGTATCATTCTTTGACCTGGTGTCTGATATTAGCATCCGGGGATTCTAAGAGCTCTACCAGCCTTGGAACAGCACCGCATTCAGCAACTAGCAGTGTATAATCAGAAGCAGCTATGTTGGTAAGCACCCATGCTGCTTCCATCTGCAAAAGGTATACCCAGTATAAGATTGTTTACAGAGAAAAACAAAGGGAAGAAACAAAAGAAAACAAACAGACGACCATACTTGGAGCTGAGGAGGTCTTTGTCTTGAAAGGAACTCAGCAAACCTTGGCAGGACATCCGCTCTAATGATTTTTATCATGGTTGAGTTCTTCCCTACAGATATAGCAATAACAAGTTAATCTTTAGTCACACACAGAAGAAATGGCATCTCACATTAAACATGTCAAGTACCGTCCGAGAGAAGTTTCCTGAACTGGACTGTGGCTTCCAGCTGAGTGGCTGCGTGATCTGACCAGACTTTATCCACCATTTCTGATAGGCCTTCAAGCTAACTGGATACAAGAAACAGAATAAGGAAATCTGGAAAGAAAGATAATGAGTGCACACCACAAGTAATTCTTGCATTGTGACAAATGAAAGGATCTGATCCATCGCATAAACAGTTGACATTTGCCAAGCCATAGGAGGAACTTGTCACGGGCTCCTTACAGTTCACATTTTCAAAGGCAGGCAGATAACTAGCCAATATCTATATACTAGTAACAAGTGAGTAATAAGTGTGTTCATCCAAACATGGCAGTGAGGCGTTTTGGTAGAAAAAAAACCATGCAGTAACAATCATCTATTCTCTGTTGGAATTATCTTCTGCGCGTCATCTGTGGCTTCAAATACTAAACAGGTCTCCACTTGCGAGCATGAGCTATAATTCGCAGAACGAATAAATTTCAAACACAAGGTGGCAAATCATACTACTTTCTTACAAAACGACCAACGGCGGCTAGAGTCAGAACCCTAAGTACCGCACCTCAGCGTCGGCGGCGGCCCGCAGAGCGTCTGCGGGGGGCGGAGAGGACGGGGGCGAAGACGGCTCGGAGGAAGGAGGTGGCGCGGTGGCGTCTGCGGCCGCATCGGAAGGAGACACGACGGGGGCGGGGGTAAGGCTGGGCTCCTCGCGGCGGCGCTTGAAGAGGCCGGCGTCGCGGTTGCGGCGACGGAGGGCGAGGAGGCGGTCCTCGCGTCGCCGGCGCGAGCGGGCGGCGTCCACGCCCGGTGGCTTGTACGCGCCGCGGCGCGCCTCGTCGGACGGCCGCCGTGGGACGCGCGGCATGGCGCGGACGCGGCGAGGTAGGCTCGGGTCGGGCTCTGGTTCGGTTCGGGCCGGATCCTGTTTCAGGAGCTGGTGCGGTCGGAACATGGTCGTTGTCTTTTCATGCCACCTCACCGTATCCATTTTCTTTTAACACGGTCTACGATCATACGTACACATACACTTACCCCTATCGATTTGCGATGCACAAATTTGAATCCACAAACGTCCACGGAAGCAGCCGGTACGTGTCCGCTTTGAGTACCTTTTAAATTGTCCCGTCACATACATATGACTGATGGAGATGAAGAAAGATAAAAGAAAAAATAAACAATGAGGAAACATGGTTAGCGGTGGACCGTATCCTACA